GCGGTCAAACGCCCCTAGCTACCTCACAAGTTGAGGTTTGTAACTAAATTTTGTGTATTATTTCATAAAGAACCGCTATTGTATACAAATCGTTGTTTTGGAAACTTCGGTTTTTTCGTTATATCATTACGTACTAGATAGTGTCTACATCCATTTGTTTATCTGTTGATGTAAAACGTATGTCGATTGTATCATCAATTGTATCACAAGTCAATGATTTACGTGAAGTTTTGTCCTGTGAATTAGATGATTTGTTCGTGGAGTTTTCATTGTTCTTCTGGACAACATCATCAGAACAAACTTCAAGTAGAATTGTTCAAATATTTCTACAAAAGACTCATAGCTTGTCAATTTGGCCTTAGTTTTGATTGGCTATTGTCGACCTTCAACGTGTCATTGTCTACCCCTCTATTTTGATTTTTCTCCCTTTATCTTGATTCTTAATCCTATATTTGTCAGGGATTTTTTTATAAGTCGATAGATTGGATTTATTTTGACGTGTTCGTTGCTGATTGCCCCAGTGCCAAGTTTCTAAAGATTTTTTTAGTGATTTTAGTATTCTCATTATCCTAAACCTTAACATTTTCCAAGACAAACGTCAACCAGCGGTTTCAACATGCATTCATATAAACGAAGATATGTCATAGCGTTCGACCTGTAATTGATGTTCATACAGGCAAAGATCAAGAAGGCGTCTAATTTGTCCAATGTAGTGTTTTTCGCTAGTGGAACAGTTTATTTTGTAAATGGTTTTTGTATTTCTATTTTCTTGTCATTTCATCATATGGTTTATATAGGATTGATTGAAGTGATTTTGCCAATTTGTATGCTTTCTCTATACCAAACGACTTCAATTATCTCTATGTAATATGTGATTTGTTTTTTATATGTGGTAGGATGATCTGTTTGTTTGTACTTATACTTGAATTATTTTTGCTGGTGGGTTGAATTTATATTGCTTGATGAAGTTGTGTGGCTATCTGTTCTTTTGAAGCACACTCATAAGTTATTTGTCTTCATTTTTTGCAAGCTGCAAGAGTGCTGCTTTGAGCTTTGACTTGAAGCTTTGTATGTGTGTGTCATTGACGAGGAGCAGATATAGAGTTTCCTTTCTTGAGCTTGATTCAGTTGAGCTGAATAAGGCCGTTACATTGGTGAACATCATCAGTTCGTCGTTGTTGATTGGAATCTCCATAAACCTATCCAAGAATTGTATGGGAAATTCGATGGAGTGATTGAATGAATAAAATAAATCTTTTAATGTTCTTGAAATTTCTCCAGATATATTCTGTGTTGTGGAATGTACGATTGAATGTATTATGATGTTTGTTTGTGTATATTCGGCCTACCGTAGAATCAAGCGATTTTACTCTCCATTGTTCTTGCTTTGATATTTGTCTCACTTTAATCAAAATTGTTTACGATCCCGAAATCCGATCAATATTAAGTCAAAATGGAAACCTGGAATTACTGAACGAGTATTTCGTCCAAGTATGATTTGAAGGTTCAGTGTTTATCATACCTTATGACCACCGATTAGAGGGCAGTGACTTATCGACCGGATCAAGGACGCGTAAAAGACCTGCGGGAAGTCTACAGTCCTGATTGGTCCTGCTTTCTGCCTAGCCCAGCCAGGCAAGTCCAGAATACCAGTTTCAGCCTCTGCGATACGAATCATGTATTCCAAACATATTCTGTTTATATATCAATCACGCAGACTAAATCGTACGATAAAATAAAAAATAACATTAGTAAATTATTTGGCCAAATGTGGCTGTGAATGTGGGAAATAGTAATTGTTAGACAGGGAATAACTCAAGAATCGTAAGTTGTATAATAACAGTTTATAGGGTAAAATAAATCTGTTGATAATAGAGAGACATGAGAATGAATAGTTAAATGAATTAACAATTAAACGATTAAAATATACACATAGTATTTATCCATAAATCGTTCACATAGTTACCAGTCATTATGTGCATCGAGACCTAACAGTGTTACATCGCGATACCACAGGTCCTGTGTTCGAATCTAGAATGCAGTACCGTGGAGGAGTATTAATGAGGAATACTATACTACAACGGATCAACCGTTCAGTGTTTCCAGGTTTTCAATGCCTGGTCATTGATCATTTCAAGATCTCAATTAAATGTAACCATTTTCACAACTTTATGCTGATAATTCACATTTTTTTTTGAATTAATGTTCCATCATAAGTATTGTGAACTTTTTCAAAGTGTTTTTCTTCAAAGGAATTTTTTATCGATGAGTTTGAAAATCTACTGTATATATTAGTCTGAACTTAAGGATTGCCCATAACATGGTTGGATGGAGAATGCTGGCAATTGGCCTATGCTCCTTCACGAGGAGCAATAGGCATATGTAAGTAAGTAAGTAAATAACTTACTACTGAAGCATAAAATGATTATAGCATTATATACTGTTCACTAGTAAGCATTTAGTCAGTAAAATAATGATATGAATAATATTTTCACTTTGATCATTCAATTGTATTTCATGCAAGAATATTGCCGTAGGAAGCGATCTCCCACAGCTTTAACTCTAAGCTATTCTTCTGTAGACTGTCGAACACAAAGTCTTGGTTTAGCGAAATTCAGATCAAGTAAGCTATAGGGCTTGATAAACTTTATCTGTTGCTAAAGCATAAATTATCACCATTAATGTATAAAATAAACGATACAGTCTATCAACACAGCGAAAATCAGAGATATAAATAACATACCGAACAGTAACTGGAGGATAGGAAAAATGAGTCAACAAGGCAAATATTGTCTCATGATGAACGTCGAATTGTGATTGGTGAATAAACAAGACCTACTCACACAGGTTCTAAGAAGGTAATGTGGTGGTGAGCGCTTTATTTTATCGTTGGTGAGTTCATTTGTCGATCACATTTTACAATTACTTTTGAAAATTCCTATTTGGACGAATACATAATGTGTAAATACATGTATATAGAGATATGAAGATAGATATGATTTCACTGTTGAATTCATGAGTCAGGTAAAGCTAGAGCATCATGGAAAATCTGGAAGCACTGAACGGCCGTTTTGTTCTAGTATGGTACTACTCACTAGTACGCACCCACCACCTCACCCCCCGCGAGATTCGAACCCAGAACCGATCAATCCTTCTGACATCAATTGTCGGTCGAATAATAGTGGGAATACTGAATGGAATACAATGAATTTAATTTCCTCATTAAACATCTATTGTGTGTTCTCTCTTTTGATATTCTTCTTCTACGACTGAAATTAAGATTAAGCTTATTTCTTCTTATATGAATGTTGCCATTCATGAATAAATAAAACTTCATCAAGTACAGAATGAGATCATATTACATTGTTTGTATGGAAATAGCAATGATCTGCTTGAGTTGAAGGATTGATGCAGGAATGATGATGGTGATGATGATGATTCGTTAAAAAGGTAGCAGATTAAGGCTTATTGGTCAGTATCAAAATCTCATAGATCTTGTTTACTACTATCATAGAAACGAAAATTGGTAGGATTTCACTTTTTAACAGCATTTAACGGATTGACAATACCGATATCATCATTGAAGAGAATATGAAACTGACTGACAACTGAAACATGATTATTGAATGGATATTCATCATTAAAATTTACAACCGATGCAAAAGTGATTCAACATTCAAACATTCATAGTTCTATTCTGAAATGAAAGTAACATGACCGTATGGAGAAGAACCAGACAAAAGAACATTGAGTCACTTCTCATTACATTTGCCATTTCGTGTATGTGTATGGATACATGGAACTACCAAAGTGTATTTTACTAATTCAATTACAAGTGATGGAAAATATGCTTAGACGGTTTTGTTGTAATCAGTTGTTTTCGAATATCCCAATCAAAGCCGAGAGCAGAAAACGATGTTGAACATAAACAGATCACAAGGCTGACCTTAAAATAACTCTGAACGTCTTGTAGTGGAATTTTCCAAACCACATGCTCAATTTTTTCGGAAACCTTACTCGATGTAAAGCTCAACGTTTCATGATATAGCTAAAATAAGTTGATCACTTTGAATGCATTTTATAGCCTAGGGTGATGGGTTCAGTTCTTATGATTTACATAATACAATAATTTTTATCAGTATGAGGTTTCGCAGAGATCGTAGAATTTTCATAGTTTGCATTTGTGGACTAAGCTTAAGGCATCACTGAAAACAAGAAAGTATTGGACATCCATCCTTTATTTCTAATGATCACTTTGCATTCGAATTGACCATCATTAGTCCTCTATAATGATGTCTAGACAATGATATGTGTGACTTCATTTCTTGAAATGTATAACACTATTGCATCGCATTTTGTTTTCAGATCAACTCCGTATTCTCATTATACAAACGAAACTTATGTCAAATATTCATTATTATCATCACTTACTCCAACAAGGGATCAATGAACAGCATTGTCGAATTACTGTGAAGTGGAAATGGATATACCCAGGAAATATTCCTTTGTCAATCATATTTATATCATGGCCCTTCTATGTATATGACTTAATGTGGTAATTAATCCTTCGCAAGTTTATGTGCTTCCGCAGATAACTTAAGCTGACTGCTGAGTATGTGTTGATAGATTAAATCAGTGTTCATATATTTATTGATGAGAATTCGCCCTTACTGTCATAATATCCAACATTTCTTAGTATTTTTAGAGCTCACGTGATTCAAAACACTGACATTCCTCCAAGTTATATTAGTTTTTTTAGTTACCTGTACAGGTTGAAGTCATAGAGACAACATACAATGCCAGTTGACTTACTTAAGAATGGTCCTTCAATGATTTTATTGGAAGGATGTTTTTGGACTGTTAATGTTGATGGATGAAGTACACAGTCACTTGATAATACAGATTGATAGAATATAGTCAAATTAATACTGTTAGAAAGGTCAAATGATTGATCGATATTAAATTTGAAATGATGGACTGATATCAGAAGACAAGATACGTATCAACATAATAGGTTTCTTCTCTTCACAAAATCATGCACTTTTATAGAAAACAAGAATAAACATGATTAGTAGTTCATCAACATATAAATGATTGATTGGTTAGATGTCTCTATGTGCCAGTTACTCTCCAGTGAACTGAATGACTAACGATCAGGATCAATTCTTGCTGTATCTGATCACAAGCCTTCTACAAACTGAAGTATGATTCATCTGTAATAATAACATTCATAAAATGGGAATGCTTGATCAAGCTCTTTATGTTAGCAGACTGTTCAATAAAATAGATAAAACATTATGATTGTCTAAAGCTTGCTAATCTACTCACTACTTTTGAGGATTTATTTGACAACACAAGTCAAAACAACAAGACTTGTCCGACACAGATTCAGACCTGATTCAAACTACGATGATTTAGCCTCTTTCGCTTTTAATAAAATAGATTAGAATGATCATGAATAGATCAAATATCTTACCACGTATTGTTTATCCTGCTCACTTGATACAAGATGGATAAATATACAATCAAGCTTATCTTTAATTACCTAATTCAACAACAGTTTATGAACAATGTTTCTTAACGTTTTAAACTCATAACCCGAATAAAATAATTTCCAACAGTATAGTATAAAAACTGGTACCTTAGGCCCCAGTAGCGTTCACTGAAGATTCACCTAAAATATTGAATGAATTAGGAATTAAAATTTTACGATCAACTTGTTAGCGACCCAATGAAATACGATCACTAGTATAGGGATTGTGTAGATTATTAACTTTTTGATTGAGATCATGAACCGATTGATGTAAGACCACCACCTTTGGAAACTTGGAAGCACTGGACGGCCGTTTCGTCCTATTGTGGGACTCCTCAGCAGTGCGCATCCACGATCCCGCTCGCGGGATCCAAACCGAGGGCCTTTGGTCCCGCGCGCGAACGCTTAACCAACTGGACCACTGAGCCGGCATCCAATGGTGATAGTGTCTAACACCAACCAATCCACGAAATTGCGCGACCAAAATGAACACACAATAAATTGATTGATAAAATTCGATTTGCATTGAAAGACTAAACAAACATTAGATTGGCCATTACTTATCGATCAACCAGTTGTAATAACATTTAGTCATGACGAATTATAACACGACATGCTCTATGCTAAAGTGTAAACAATCCTCATAACGAATATTTTAGACATTATGTGTAATAAACATTGTTGAGATCATCAGTCAATTGAGGCTAGACCACCATGGTTTTCTTTCACGTTTTCCATGGTGGTCTAGTTTCAATTGACTACTGATCCCAATCATTCAGAAAAACCTTTCTCATACATTTGATTACTTGTGGATTTTATCTAGGGTTTTAAATAATCTCATTATTGAATAATTGAAATATAAACAAATACAGATTTTTGGTGTGTGTGTGTGTGTTTAAGAGATAGAGGAATAACGAAATGAATAAACCACTAATACGTTACATAATCCAAATATCTTAGTACCTGAATTTTTAAACAGTTATCTCGAAGGAATCCGCTCAGGGCGAACAAATGGCATAAGAGACCAATTAATTACGGTCAAATAGACAGTGAGAACTGACAAACCACTACCAATACTTTGAAAAGGTTGATGGCTATATGGTTTCACTAGCGAAGTGTATAAACCTTAAATGTTTAAATATATAAGGACTGGGTTTAAGTCTTATTGTGAGCACCAACATCGGGATGCATACGTAACTGGCTGTTCCAAATACAATAAAACTTATGTCCTGGATGGCGTTCCTAAAGACAAAGCAAGGGGGTCATGTGAATAATGTGTAAAATGAGGATAAAACAAAACGATGAACGTAACTGTGGATATGGTATTATCAAAAATACTATCCAAATAATTGGGTTGCAAAAAGTGGTCATTTTTGTTACCGAAAGTTCGTGAAGGATATGGTAGGGAAAAGAACTGAACAAAATACTTTTTTATATATACACGTAGTTGGAAAATTCCAAAAATCATTTTCTCAGCTTTATATGGTTATCGGTGATGCACACACCGTGAAAGCTTTATTGGCACTCAACATACGGGCTATATATTTAATCTCCCATCGATTTTATTTCAATTTGTCATTGCATGGATCACTCCGTGGTTTATAGTTTCACTGTACTTTCATCGATCTTAGTCAGTATATACAAATCGTATTCAAATTAAATAGGTATCTTCATTGTCACAAGCTTTTATAGAATAGATGTGATGTGTTTAGCAGTGGAATCTGAGAAGTTACTTTCATCCTATTTGGGATTCATTAGCTAGATGTAATCGCATCCAAACCGTGAATATCCAGTTCTAAAGACACTTTATGCAACCAATAAGACAAGAAATTTCTTTTGCTTACTTCTAGTTGTAATTGAGGTGGTTGATGTTTTCTTGGTTTGGGTTCACGTGCATTAGGTGCATACACTTTCTGTACTCCCTCAAACTATGAGATTGAAGTCGCTTCAAATCTTTCTTTCTGCAAACTAATTCTTTCTTCCTGTACATTATCTTTATATACAATCTTTTTTTAAAAATAATACGACCATTGAAGTAACTACTTCTATGAATTCGGTGTTCATTTTGTTGTGCTTAAGAGGTATGGAAACTTCTATTAATGCATACATATGCGTGGTTCTACATTGTGAATGATTATAAGAGGAGAACGTCTATTTAACAGACTACCTATTATAAATAACAAAGCCATTTACAATAATCTTCAAACATATAAAAACATTCAATGGAATAGCACCTATTCATAATGTCCAATCATTGTGTTATTCATTGTCTTATTGCACGGGTGACAATCAATGAATGAATTTAAACAAAATTGTGAACTGATAACTAGTGCCATATATTCATAAGTCCATAAGAAAATAATGAACATAACACGCGACTGTTCTTCTTCACTGGATCTACACAAATAATATGCTGTGTATACAATCACCTGTAATAGTCAAAACATAGATGATTAATTTATTAGTATCAGAAGGGGGTTTTGTGGATATTATAGTAATACTATAATAGTTTACGCGCGAGATCGATAGGTTTTGTGTTCGAATGCCGCGAGGTGGAATCGTCGATGCGCGCTGCCACTGAGAAGTCACAAAATAGGACAGAACGGCCTTCCAGTGCTCTCACATTTTCCACGGTGGTCTAGCTTCAATTGATTATTTCATTATTGATGTATTCATATCAAATAGTGTATCGGCAAAATAATAGGCATTTACAGATATACGGTTAACAACTTTGCAATTTCCAAACATTCATATATAACAAATGAACAGTAAGTGTCTATTATTTTGATCTGTCAATTATCGAACCATTCAACTAAAGAAACGAACTAAGAGATAAATACTTCCCCATTCAATGTTTCGTTTCCAGTCATCCTTCAAAGTGCTTCATGATGAATTCTTGTTGGATGCTCTGGATAGAAAACACCAACTCTCCAAAGTTCCAATTTCTACAGAACCACGTCTTTGAATGCATAATAATCAGTGGACGGTTGTTTTTTGTATTAACATTTTATTATTTATTCAGAACTTACAATTAACATTGCACAGCACCAACAAATCCAGGCTACACCAAGTACAATATGCTGGGATAAAAAAAAGGAAACAATTCACTTTAATTCATCATGTATCTATATCAATATCAGTCAAGAAACAGTATTACTCTACTAATTAACTCTACCGATTTTAAACTAAGATGTAGCTGACTGACTGACTGACTTCATGTAAGAGTTCAGTCAGTCTGTCATGCTGAATTTCGACATCATTTACCCATCCTGTCTCATACTTGACATTTGGCCAAACAACGAATTAGTTTCTTTAATGATTGTATCGTGAGACATTCATGTTAATGATTCTAAGAACATGAAATCACTGGCGAAGGAACCACTATGGAGAGCAACTGGAAGGGGATGAAAAAGGCAATCACCTTAACAAATAATGAGTTTCTGGGCTGGATAAGATTCAAAAAGGGTGGAACAAGAAGGCAGCAAACAATAACAGCTGAACAAGAGCAGAGAAAGCCAAGGAGCAAGCTGAATACACATCAGTAAACAAGCAAGTGATGAGGGGTAAGAGAACAGACACGCAAATATGTGGAAGACTTAGCAATGACGGCGAAAAAGGCTGCAAGAAAAGAAAACATGAAACAATTGTGTGGTACAACAAAGAAACTCGTTGAAAATCATCGTAAACCAGAAAGACTAGTGGACAGGAATAAAAGCAACGTAATCACCGACATTAAAGAATAAAGAAACAGTTTGGTAGAATATTTGAAATAACTCTTGAATCTAACATCTCCACTGAACACAACAAACATCGAATCAGCACCAACGGACCACTCAATCGATGTTGGCATGGCCGTCAGACAAATCAACAGTGTCAAAGCAGCAGGACCAGACAACATTACGGTAGAGGCACATAAAGCAGATGTAATAGTAACTGCAAAGACATTTCAGATGAAGAACAAGCACCAAAAAACTGCAAAAAAAATTCTGATCAAAATAACAAAGAAAGGCGATGTCAGCAGAATGATGTACTACGTAGATGCCCAATTTCGAGATCAACAGGCAAAATTCCGTAAGGCTCGATCGTGTACAAACCATATCGCAACTCTACGGATCATTATGGAACTATCAACTGAACGGGATTCATAACCCTATATCATTTATATTGACCATGAGAAAGCATTTGATAGTGTGTACAGAACAATACGATGGAAGCTACTTCGACAATACGGCGTGCCTGAGAAAATAGTCGATATCATACAGAATTCCTTTGATGGATTTAACTGTAAAATCGTGCCTGGTGGACAGATGACAAAGTCGTTCGAAGTGAAGAACAGTGTCAGGCAATGTTGCTTACTCCCACCCTTTTTATTTCTCGGGTGATCGAAAAGACCAGGAAGACGTCAACATCCAGGGTGGGGGAGGGGATGCAGTGGCTAGCTAGGATGCATCGGGACTATCTAGACATCGCAGATGATCTGGCACTTCTGTTAAACATGCAACAACAAATGCAGGAGAGGGAGACCACTGAAGCCGCTGCCTCAACATCAGTAGGTCTCAAAATACAGAAAAGCAACATTCTTCCATACAATACAGCATGCACTAATTCATTCACGTTTGACGGAGAAGATTTTTAAGATGTGAAAACTTTACATATCTGGGCATCATCATTGATGAACACGGAGAATCTGATGTAAAGGCGAGGATCGGCAAAGCAAGAGCAGCATATTTACAAATGAAGTACATCTGGAACTAAAAACAACTCTCTGTCAAACAGCACCAAACTCAGAATTTTTAATAGAAATGTCATCACAGTTCTACTGTGCGGTACTGAACTTGAAGAACTACGAAAGCTGGAGGATTCAGGTGTTTATTAACAGTTTTCTAAGCAAAATACTTCGGATCCATTAACCCAGACACTACACTATCAGCAGCAACCCAATGTGGGAAAGAACAAATGAACTTTTAGCAGAGGAGGAAATCATGAAGAAGCGCTGGAAGTGGATACGACACACATTGAGGAAAGCACCCAACTGCGTCGCAATGCAAGCCCTAATCTGGAAACCTCAAGGCCAAATAAGAAGGGGAAGAACAAAGAACAAATTACTCTGAGAAATCTGGGCAGACATGCGAGGTATGACCAAAAATTGGATAGAACTAGAAAGGAAGGCTCAAGACAGAGTGGATTGGATAATGCTTGAAGGTGGTCCATGCTCCACTGGGAGTAACAGCCGTAAGTGGATAAGTATGTATGTAACTTTATGAAAGTATCATTTTCGGTAGAAAACACTGAAGTATACACTACGGCAGCGAAATAATGTGAATGAACGTTCAAAGTAGTTGAACATGTATAAGAAAACAAAGATTTGTTTGAAATATTGATCAATCAAATATAAATTGAAAAGGTATTTCTATTTCGGTGTAGGGAAATGTTGTGTCCCGAAAAGAATAATGAGTGGTCACTTTTTGATCCGGTTTTGGACCAATACTATGTGTATATTTTTGTCTTATTATTGTTAATTAAAAAAAATATTCACATTCATATCTCTCTTATCATAAGCTTTATTTTGACCTATGAACTGTTATTATACAAATTACCATTCTTGAGTTATTTCCTGTCTGTTAATCACTTCCTCCCGCATTCACAGCCATGTTAAGCAAGATCTTGTAAAATGTTCTTTCCTGCTTTATGCTACGTTGTGTTCTGCTTGACTATCATATAAACAGTGTGTATTTGAAATACATGATTCATATTGCAGAGGATGAAATTGATGTCCTGAACTTAACTGACCGGGCTAGGCGGAAAGCAGAACTTATCAGGATTGTAGACTGCAAACACGTGTCTTACGCATCCTTGATCAGTTCGATAATTTGCTGCTTCTGATTGGCGGATTAAGGCTATAACAGAAACGTTTCACCGGTATTCACGTTCAGCGAATTTAGTTGGGGAAGCTGTAGCTAGTCGAGTAAACCATAAACAAATCAATAATCATCACTAATTAATATTACGTTGTGGGAATCTATGATTAGACAAACTTACGTTGGAAAGTACCTCCGCCTTGGTAAGGACAACATCTATAAACAACAGAACGATTCCAATAACAGCAAACACACACCACATCGAGAACAAGATTATCTCCAATTTTCTTTTTTGAATTATTAGCTTTACACCCAATAAAATCGCTAAGCTGGCCAACGAGGTATCCACAATTACAGAAATAATTATTTCATACCATTGTGTTCGTGAATTTAGTAAACCAACACCAATAATCATAATTATCAACTGAATAGGGAAAAAGTAGTATCATCAAATTAATTACCATTAGTTTTAAAGTTGAATCGTTCAACTATTGGACAAATAATGAAAGAATAATCTTCACTGTCCTGCATTTGATTGAAATGCTTAACAATGAATAGTTATGGATACAAGCACATAACAAGGAATCTCTATCCATGTCTATCATAATGACAAACGTGAAATATATTCAAAGCTAATTCGCTCATCCATTACACATGACCATTTTATATGAGGTTTCTTTCTCACCTAAACGGTGTGAATTATACCAATTTGGGTAAACCAACAACCACGTGAGTTAGTAATGTCTGCCAGTGGAAGCATCTAATGATGACTTGTGTATCATAGAACACAAGTTCAGTGACAGACAAAGTGTGTGTGGATGATCATACAAATGGAAATGACACTAATTCAATTTGTTTAGTTGTTCGGTGTTTACAACTCACTTCACATCATGCAAATGGTTATCACAACAAACGTAGATGAGAGTAGAATGTACCGATATTATGTGTAACCATGTCTACTCATTTCTCAATTGTCCATAACATGGACATACAGATACCTTTTAATGTTATATTATTTTTGCCAGTTATCAGTTAGGTAATAGCTCATGACCCAACCGGATCATCAATATACGTCAACATTTCTACGAAATCAGTGAAATTATAGAAACTGGGTCTCTACGCATCATGTCATCTTAAAATGAAATACAACGTTTAAACTCGTCTATTCAAGTCAACATTCAAAGATCATTTGATCCTGACAACCGTTATCAAACGAACATCACAACATTGTTTTATTATCGAACAAACAACCCCAAACTAAATGAAATCGATGATTGGAGGAAACTATCATGAATGCACTATTAAAACCATATTCAACTGACCGTTATAGTCATGAAGAACATGTTTATTATGGATGTGGAATGTAGTTTCTTAATCAATATGATTAATAATCCAATAAGCAAACCTATAAATCTGAAATATAAAGGAAAAAAATGTGTACAACATTCTAAACTCACAGATACAATAGAGCATAGTAATATGCATCAAATGTTCTACACAATATGTATGCATAAAATGGTTGAATTTCTCAGTTAGACATTTTCAAAATTTTGTCAAACTTGTGAAGTGGAATACCTAAGGAATGATCTCTTAAATATTTCATTTCATTGCCCAAATGCCCTGGTATGGCAGATGTTGGAGAGGATTGCTCTCCCCCTCGAAATGCTCTCACATGGACACTCATATACACCCACTACCATGGAAGATTTAATCACTGTCTTCTTGTGGCGGGGGGTTGTTTACGAAATTGAGAGGATAAAAAGCGAATGTTCGGCTCTTTGACGGCTTAGTGCATATATTGAATCCATTTGGACAAGTTGGAAAACCCTGAATACAAATCAGTGATATACATGGGCTCCAGAATCCCAAGGAAACAAATGGCATGTGAACCAATTGTCGATCATCGGCTGACATGGGATTTCATCTGCTGACACTGCCTTGTGGCTCCGGCTGTTGTCCCCAATCAAAACCACTAGCTTCTGTCTGGTCACCTGTATAATATCACAGCCCACACACAAATCAACTGATTTGTGTGGCACATAAGTAGTCTTTGACTATTTCTACTACATATTGAGTTGAAATAAATATATACATAAATACATTTCAATATGGTCATGTATTGTGATGTGATATAACACAAAATGACGATGCCTTCCACTAGGAAAGAAATAAACTTTATTTCCCTTCCTCAATCATAATATTCTTGTCAAACATGGATCAAATTTCTCATCAAAGTGTATTAATCAATTCATTGAATAATACGTCATGGTAATACATGGAAAATGGTCGTTAGGATTTTTGGGTAATACCTGTATTTAAAACATATATTACTTACGTTAATATGATACCACTGAGAACAACTGGTTCTGCATAATGATCAAAGCTGAATATGTCAAATGGAATGATAAATCTCTTACGTGCAATTAGAATTATTCGGACACTTTGTCGCTGAAAAATTATCCAATGCGAATTTCATGATCGTTTAACTATCTGTAATTGAGATTTGTCAACAATTCACCTTCCTCACTCACAAATTCCAACTTTAGCTGAGTTAAGTAAGAATTCAAAATAATACAGTAATGGAGATAAACAATTTCATGGATTACATAAAACCTTAAACATTCGTTCACATGCCTATTTCTTTCCTCACTCATCAATGTCTTACAACAAGTTCGGATTGATGTACAGAATTTGAATTCCATCTCACTAGTTCGCCGTATCAATTTTACGAGATTAATAACAAACATTGAAAATCAATGAAAATTGATCTCATCAGATTCATGTTAGCTGCTCACTGCATAAGGTGTGACTTAAAGTCATTAACGTTATCGCACTCAATCCAGATAAATAGATAATTAACAATGACTAATGCATTCTTCCATATAAATAATTCTCAATAGAAGTAAGTTGTTGCTTACGTCAATCTATCTCTTTTACTATGATATATTTTTTGGCAAAAATTTGAATGTCATACAATCGAAGCTTGATCGCCATCCCATCTACTATGGAAAACACTTTGTTCAGTAGACTGATGATCCTGATGTGCATATTACGAATGAGTTTTTGTATTTCAATTAACGATGGTCTTTTGTTAATGGTCTCATACATAATCCTTCCAAATACCAAGTTGCTAATTTTAGCCTGAAACACGAACTGCATACAAGCACTATAATGTAATACCATGAAGTTTGTGCTATTGCATATTCCGTAATAAAAACAATGTCGAAGGTTACATTTTGTGGAGTAAGAGTTTGCTCTTATATATATATATATATATCTCCGTCTTCTCATGTTGTTTCGATATGAAAGAAAGCTTTCTGTAGAACCCATTGTATATAGAAGTTACATGCTTTGCGCATTGCTCGACATTTATATTGGCGACATCTTGATTCTTGTGTATTACCTATTATTCATTACTGTTTTCGATTATTATTCTCAATGATTTTTAGGAAAGATTTTGCCATATTGTGAAGACTGCTGAAGGCAGTGAGTAGGACGTGTGATGAATCTTGTGGTTGTGGATATACATTGAAAATCGTGCGAAATGCTTACAAATGATTTCGTACCGTATATTTATCATATATTTCATCTTGCACATCTAGCTGGAATCATTTGTGCTGAGAGTTGTGTTTTGCGCTGTTCACATATTTTGGTTTGGACGTCGCTGACCTTCTTCCTGCTGTCCTCTATACTAGTCAGCATTGTGCGTCGTGGTAATCTGTATTCAGGAATACATAACACGTAGCCCAACCATCTCGGTCGGTAAAGATTCACAACCTCGTCAACTGATTTAATATTATTCTGTAATCCTTCGCAACCAACCTAAACATTACTTGCTCTATGTTCACAGCAGTTGCTGACAATATTACTTAGACATCTGTGATCAGTCTCTAGTACCTGCGAGTATCTTTTTCTCTTAATGATAGCAATTTGCAGGCAATAGCTAGAAAACAACAAACTGCTGCGCGATATAGTCGTTCTTTTTATTGATAGACAGATATCTCGCCTTCGCCATAAGATAGATTTTCGAATCTGTGCTGAGGTTTCATAAGTCAACAACCCATTCGTACAGATCACATTTCCAAAATAAGTGGAGTTGTCAATGCGTTAGACTACTTCACTCCCTATCCTTAGTTCTGGTGTTGATGCAGACCTGTCCTGAAGCAACAACTCTCATTTAGATGGGAAGATGAGCATCTCAAACATCCAGACATTGTTGCTCACTGCTACCAAAATACTCTGTATTTTAGCGGCGTCTACACCAAACAGAACAATGTCATTTACGTATTCTAGGTCGATAAGTTAACCTTCTGGTATCTGATCAATGCTACTGATAATACAACTTATCAACAAATCTAAACTCATGCTTAATTCATACAGTTTGATAGAAAAATTGATAAACTTACATGGAATTATTCGAATGTTCAGTATTACTAATGATTCATTCAGTAAATTTACACAAATTTATAACAAAATTCATTAATTGCTTCATTGAACTTTGGTTAAGCGAACATTGTACAAAACAACAGCATAAGTGGTTTGGTTACAAATTGATATGATGCAAGAGAGAGACAATTTATGATTTGATTTACTCACTATGAGTTTTTGTTCAAAACTAATTCCGTTTTGATTCAATGTTATGATTACTCAATGTAATTTTTGTTTTCTTTTCTCGGATGATATTTTGTTCTGTATAATATGTGACATAAACTTTGCTCAGTATGTGATTTCATCTTAATTATTAATCAAAACGTGTGTACAATCAGTATATAAATGAGTGTATTCTCTACTAGGGTCGTCTTCGTCGTCGTTATAGTGTTTTGGGTTAAATAAATTATCACTTATTTCAGTCTTTGTGTTCTTACATCTACGTTGTGAGAATTGCAGAGATCCCTCGTTCCGAATATAAGTGATCAGCGTTTTTCCGACGTAGCAATCAGCGACGACCAGATACAAAACTTAGCATTAAAAAACCCAAGAGAATACGCATTCAAACCACCAGTTATAACAGAAATCGAACAAACTGCATTTGACTGTTAGTTTATTGAAAACAAATACGTGAAAGCACTTTGAATTGAAAATAATCATTGATATTGTCGATCTGATAAGCTCAATAACTGAATGTAGCCTTGTTAAGATATTCAGAAAAATATCCTGAAAAACTATCTTGTTAAGCGTAATGTTATACTTGAACGTGAAATGGTGCCATTTTCCTTTTGGTCAATATTTATTTCACGTGTCATTTTGCTATTGGTCAATATTCACAATAATCCTAACTGTATGAATACGCATTTGTTTGTAAATTCTTCTTCTTCTCCTGACTCTATAAACAATTTTCATTTACGGATCGTGCTCTTATTCATTGGAGATTGTCGAACAGTATTGGGTCGTACTGGGATATCTGAAGCAGGTCAGTCGGTAGAAATTAGAGTAGCCATCCCGCGATCCACAATAGTTTAGCGACACAGATTTAGCAAACGAGTTGGTGACTAACTATGTCTCCTGCAAAATCAGAAAAATTGTTCGGACAACAGTTGGTTTATTGAGAACAAATATAAGATAGCACTTTGAAATGAAAATAATCAATGATCTGATAAGTTCAATAACTGAATGGAGTCAGATAAGACACCAAATATTTCTATTTCCTGATAATATGATTAGTTTCTGTGGTCAAAATCGACACATCTTGTACTCTATGAATATACATATAATTGGTGTGATTGTTGCAGTAAGCCATTGAGGAAACCCAAACCTAGATTTCATTTGGATACGCCGTCGTCAGCAATCTGTAAATGTAATCTTGAGGGAACTGATGCTTTCGATTCCGTGTCTACCAGCCTCACAATTGGAGACGTCACTGAACTACTCGCTCTCTCTCTCTTTCTCTCTATGTATATAGGCTGAACAACAGTATATAGGAATGCTGTATGTCAACATTTTGAATTTTTCTGCTTCTTACAACTTGGCTTACTTGAATGGTTATGTGCATGTTTACTCACAAAAACAGTTGAACAATTAGCTTGCTCTTAACCTACTGGTTAAAAGCTGAGAGATTTCATTTAGTCAAACTGATGGTTGATATGGTATGGTACACAAGTAATCACTGTAGATAACTGTGTATTACGAATTCGTAAGTGAATTTTCACAGATCGACGTAGAAATGAACACGTAAGTACAAATTCGAAAGAAATCTATGTGACTTAGCAAAACAAATGAGATTGTTTTCTTATCAATCATTTCGATAACCAATTCAACCATTTCTAACCACGAAGTCAATATTCTATCTATCTAATGAATGAATAGTCAATTATCAGTATTACAGTATTTAATAACCATGAAGTTGCCATCGAATCCATTCACTGAATTCCATTTGTTCATCTACTTAATATCAACTATAATTGGACAATTCGATTTCTACGACGGAGGAAATCGGTAATCATTTGTGGAAGTCAAGTGAATTGAGTTGAATAATTGGACGTGGAAGATAATCACCAGTTAAGGACTCCCTCATGCATCAGGTAGCATATCAAACAATAAGGTTCATTCTGTTCAAAACAAAAACCAAACAAGTTTCAGCTAGGATTAAACATGACGTGCGAAACACCAGATATGAATGCTCCATACTGAAGGTTATTTTCCACTTGATAAACCTCTTTCGCGTCATATTTGTTTAGCATCATTTGTGTTTATTTCATGAAGACATCAATATAGTAGTTGTACACATTAGGACGTTTACTTAATCCCTTATGGATATTTCATGTCACACAGATAATCAATGTAGTTTGAACAATCAGTACTGTAAGAGAATTCCTATCAACTGGTATGAATGCATCATGACTACGTCAAGTTGAATATTCCATAGATCTTAACAAGCTGTAGTGAAATGTAATACGACGCTAACGATTTTCCTAATAACAGTCGGAAATAGCTCAACTTGTAAACGAACGTTACTAATCATGACTAGATCAACAGTTCACTTAGTGTAGAGCTGACTACGGTAAACCGAACGCAACAGAATCATGTGGGTCAAATTCACCTATTTCATGTTGATAATGAAACGGACTTCGTAAAGAATAATTAGTCCTTGAAGCCTGTTACCTTTCACTCATCATTGTTGATAGTTCAGTGAACACAAATATCATTATCAATATTATGTGACTGTTATGACGATTGTTGTTGTTGAATGTTGTAAGACATACAAAATGTGCATTCATTCATTGTGTAGATTGAAGTGTTTATATTTATGTCAATATCTTCCACAATATTATATTTTCATATTACTGAATCTCCACATTTGCACTCAATTTATTCTAGACACTTCATTGTCGAGTAGTATGTAAAGTTGTTTCGTTCCAATGATTAATAATAACAGTAAAGCAGATCATAGTCAGTCAATCCATGAAATTGGTGTTCTTTTGCTGTGATATATTAATTTTTAATCACTAAAGTATTTACAGTAAATTCACTTCATATTGTCTACTTGAATCCTCCCACTGATGTTTAGGACTGCGACATATGTGCAAACTGTCAGTATTGCCTTGATGTTATGTTTAGTAACAATCATCACAATAAGCAAACAACAATGGTTGCTAACATTGGATTTTGGTTGTTCCCACTTGTGTGTTCTAGTTCACTACATTATCAATGTGAAATGTATATTATCGTGAAAGTAACAAGATGTAAGGTAAAACAGTTACTCTTTCACGCTTTAAACTTTGTTGACCAGAAGAAACGGAATACTTGTTCCTTGTGATTCATGTCTATTGAGGCAGTTGCACTGCATTCTTCATAATAGATAGATAGATAGATAGATAGATAGATAGATAGATAGATAGATAGATAGATAGATAGATAGATAGATAGATAGATAGATAGATAGATAAACAGATAGATAACATGATTGTTGCGTTTCTTCTAAGTGTGGAGGGCGAGAACATTAGCTAGTAATGTGAGAGTTCATAGTGTCGTAAGCTCTGGAATAATCTCCCTCATTCTCGACAAATTCAAAGTAAACATCGAGAATTCCTTCAAACAATTGGCCTTATGGTGTCATTATTGTGTATTGAATTATTAACTGTTGGGAAAACATATTGTCATGTTATTAAAAGAAAGCATTATTGTGTAAGACCAATAAGTAATATATCAAGATCTATGTGCATTCAAAATAGTGGTTATAGACGGTAAAATATTCCCACACAATGCCACATTGGTCTCTCTGGATCACATCACAGAAAACCAAATCGATAATATTTGCAAACTAATCCAATAGAACAGTGGGAGACTTGAGAACCGCCAGAGGAGCTGACATAGTCTCATATCACCTAATGGTTCTCAGGATGACATTGGAGTTAAGGAGGATCTGGACCACTGAGTAAACAACAGTACAAATACTAGACAGCTGTTTCTTCCTAGCATGAATCTTCTCACCAATGCACATTTACGACTCCACATATAGTGGTCTAGCTAAGAAGAACCCATGATTTAAACTGTGAAAATCAATTTGTCAAAATTGAAAATATTTACGCTTCCATATTGGTTTCATTCGATGAAGATAATAGTGATATGGATATTACGTAGATGTCGTATGTATTTGTTTGATGTCAAAGAATAGTGAAAGGAAATGAAGTTGCTTCACTGAACTACAAGCATCTTGATTGCAATCTTGTCGATTGAAATCTGTCCATTCACTCTACTTATTGATAAGTAAATGTTTAGTTTGCACATCTTAGTCGTAACTGCGGGTTATTCTGAATTCAAATAATTTAGTATGAACACTTCTGATAGTAAAACTGTGTGACACGAATTCGCATACCTTAGGAAAGAATATGCCAGATCTATTGACTTCATAGTTACTTTGACGATGTATGCAGATGATGAAAATCAACGATACATCATCAGTGGTCAGTGTTTGAATCGCTCTGTTGTTGATATTCTGGGCTGGACTTGGGTGAGTTTTTGTCTGTATGTAAGGTAATGGTTCGGACTACTTCGAAACAAAATAGATGGATTTTGACTACCATTGGGATCCAGGACATGGGTTTCGTTACTCCAACCAGAAAAATCATTTCAACCATTGAAAATCTATTAATGGCCTGCTGTTTGACTCAAATAGAATCGTATGATTGATTGCTATCCAAATATATATATCATCAACCCTAACGGCTTTCCTCGTGTTAGTTAACAACGGAATTAAAGAAGTCAAGTACGAGAAAGGATTTCGAATACACGTATTTTGTACATTTGTAGAATTATGGTCTACTATTATGTTAGTACTGCTCTAATAATAGACCTAATCCTAAATTTGTAGATTTGTCATGATATAACTGCCTAATCCATAAGATCTTACGTGGAAGTCACATCATCGACTACACCAACTCACTGTATCGTATCAATTACCAGTACATGATGTAGAACAAGGTTAGGCTAGAGAAGGAACAA